TTTTAAACTGTTTCAAACTGCATTGTTCCATGATGATAATATTCTCAGACAGGAAAGAATAATTTCCTATTGCCAAGTGGTAGGAATAGAGTCCAGTCTGGGAATATAAAGGTTTACATAAGGAATTTTCTTTGTGGTTGGGGAACCAATCATATCCTTTTTATTCTTCTTTTTAAAATTTATTTTGAAAAAAAGAAAAAGAAAAAATAAAGAAAGAAATGAAAAACTTAAAACATTATATAAGCATAAAGAAATAATACTAAAATTTCAAAAGGCTGTAGCAGGGAGTAACAATTTAACATAATTTAACATGTCTGGGGCTTCTTGCTCACAGATCAAGATCAATTGAGCCCATAGGTACATAACCACATGCGTAAATCTTCATAGCATTCTTAAAATTAAAATTCTTTACTTTTACAAGAGCCAAGATGAAATGATATGAAAACCTAGTTATTTATTTCATCATCTTTATTCTTATCAAGAAGAGATATTTAACTATGAATTTCCTTATGGAAAAGGTTTGAGCATTTGTTACCCCCCTCCTTTGTTTTTCCCCTACCATCCCTTTCCTCTCCACCTCCTCAACTCCTCTCCCCCTCAAAGTTGTAAAGTTCGTTTTCAACATAGTGTCTTGTATATCTCGTTACAATAGGTCAACCTGTATCCTTATGTCATCATTTTGTTTTTTCCCTTCCCCTACCCAAATTAGAAAAATGTATATACAAGATGCAGGACACCAGAATCAAACACAGTGACAACAGGGGTTATACCATGGGGGACGAACATACAATGCTAGATAGGAAATGCACTCATTACCTTACTCATGTAACTGTAACCCCTCTGTACAGTATCTTTACAATAAAAATATATATTAAAAAATAAAACAGAAAATACAGTCAAAAAGCATAAAATTAAGCAAATGAAAAAAAAGGGAAGGGTTTGTGATATCAAGAAAGTATTTTAAAAATGAAAGCCAGACACTGGTGGCACAGGCCTGTAATCCTAGCTACTCAGGAGATCTGAGGATATTGGTTCAAAGCCAACCCAGGCAAACCACTCAGAAAACCGGAGGTGGCGCAAAGGCTCAAGTGTAGAGAGCTAGCCATGAGCTGAAGAGCTGAGGGACAGCATTCAGGCCCAGAGTTCATGTCCCATGACGAGAGAGAGAGAGAGAGAGAGAGAGAGAGAGAGAGAGAGAGAGAGAGAGAGAGAGAGAGAGGAGAGGCAGAGAAAGAGAGAGAGAGAGGAGAGAGAGAGAAGAGAGAGGGAGAGAGAGGGGAGATAGGGAGAGGGAGAGAGAGGAGAGAGAGAGGAGGAAGAGGGGAGAGAGAGAGAGGAGGAGAGGAGAGGAGAAGAGAGAGAGAGAGAGAGAATTTTAAAAATGAAGCCATACAATGAGAAGTACAAGTCGCTATGTCGACAAGAACTTCACAACTTTGGGGGGGGGGGCGGGGAGGATTGGGGGGATGGGAAGGGGAAACAAAGGAGGAGGCTACAATGCTTGATAAGAAATGTACTCATTATCTTGCCCATGTAATTATAACCCATCTGTACAGTATTTTCACAATAAAAAAAACTACATAAACTGAAAAAAAATGAAACCATACACCTTGCAAGCAATATTATTATACATGTAATTTATAGTGTTATCTTCTTGAGTAATTATGAAACTATGATTATTTTAGTGTAGATCTGATAGTGATGGGGATGATCTCAAAACCATTTTGTCTCCTGCCAATGCTACTGCAGGAGAGTTCATTTTAATTTCACTGAATTTGAAATTCAGTAAATATAGGTCTGCAATGATGTTATAACATCATTTGGATCATTGGATATTTATCATTGGGCAGAAAAGTTTCCCTACCCTGCTTCTTTTCAGGATATTTCACTTGAGTAATATTTTAGACATAAAAAATTAGAAGTACTTTTATGTATATGGTTGATAGAAAGTACTATACCCCCAGAAACCTTAATTGTAGATATTCTCACTCTCCAAACACAATTACACCTTCTTCAGCACTAAGTCTTCTTAGCACCCTATAGACTGGGAGCTAGAATTCATATCTAACAGAGATCTTTAGCTAACATGACAGTAGCACAAGCACTGCTCCGTAGGTTCATGTTCTTTTGCTATATATATATGTTCTATTTTCCCACTGTGTATCAGAGTATACAAGGTGATAGAAGGTTTAATTAACATTGTTGCCCTCCCTCAGCCCTGCTTTGAGGAAAGTATTGTCAGAACCCATTCTATAGTATAGGATGTTTGAATCTTACTTACAAGGAAGAAACATAGTACAGCAGGTAAGAAGAATTAAAAGGAACATTTAAAAATTGAATGGTTTTATGTATGAATGAATGAAAATCAAATATTATATCTGTTGTTTCACTATAGGCATAAGCATAAATCTTTGGGATGTATATGATTGTATAAATTCATTTGAGTCGATTGGAAATGGCACAGACTCTGAAAACAACAAAATTCAAAACAAATTGGTATTGAAACTTGCTTTGACAAGGTCGCTGGCTATGTGATCTTGGACAACTTTATTAATGTGCTGAATTTATCTCATCTTTTAAAAAAAATTGAATCCAAGGCTTTATCAATGCCAGCCAAGTACTTCAGGGCTTGAGCTTCATTCCAGCCTATTGTCAGTGTTTCATTTTTATTTTTGAGATGGATTCTCACTCCCTTTGTCCTAGGTAGCCTTGAACTTACAATTTTCCTGCCTCTCTCTTCCAAGTGGCTAAGATTTCTCATGTGCACCATCATGCCTGGCTTTGTCTTATTTATATACAGATGAAAAACTACTGCAGATAATTTGTAAACAACAACAACAAACTTTTATTTACTCACATGGTATTTGGCTATGTTTTTTTCTTAAAAATTCTCAACTAGTTTAATGGACTTTTTATAATATTGTTCAACTTGTCAGTCAAGAAGTTGATTGTTGGTTGGCTTGCCCATGAACCGATGTGAAGCTGTGATGAATTGGAGTCTCCCATTTGCTGGGCTGTCATGGAACTCTGATCCTCCCAGCCTCAGCCTCCTGAGTGTGAGTGAGCCCTTAAACCTTTAGACCTGGCTCAAATTAGGACTTTTATTATAATATGAATCACTAAAATTGGAGTCTATATCAGTAGGAATTGGCTGAATTATGCAACGAATAATTATAAATCTCAATGGCTTAAAACCACCAAAGTGTATTTGTGGTTCATTGTAGATTTCCATCATGAATTGTTAGAGGCTCTGCTAATCTTTTCTCTGTATGCACTTGGAGACCTGGCTTGCTATTGAAGATCACTTGTTAAGTACTGTTGGTTGCTGTGTCCGGGAAAAAGAGGGTCTTATCTTAACAATTAAATATTCCATTTGGGAATGATGCACACAATATCTCCTTCACTGGGCAGAATGAGTCATAGTCACATAGACTCACTCAATTAAAAGAAAGCCTGGCAGTGATGAAACAGGAGGAGAACCGGTTCGTGAACAATACTAATGATCATCATATGAATTATGAGGTATTATGAATCAATTAAGGGCTAAAAATCTGTTAAGAATTATTGATATGAAAAATTCCTGAGCAAGGTGTGGTGGGTTCATACCTGTAATCCTAGCACTTGAGAGGTGAAGGCAGAAGCATCATGACTTGGAGTGTCCAGACTTGACTACATAAATACTGTCTCAGAAAACAACAACCACCACAAAACTCCAATCAAACCAAGAAAAGAAATAAAATAAAAAGTAGGGGAGAAAAGGAAGCACAACTGCAAATAGTATGTGCAGACAAAAATGTTTTAAAAATCGTTAACCTTCAATAGATACTGTCAGGGACTTGGGACAGAAATGAAAGCTGTGTCCAATGCCATATTCTCCACAGTCCTGAGTTATTCCAAAGTCTGTAGAGCTTTGGCAGATACAGCTACTCCCTTTTGGTTTTGTTGCTATTTCCTAGCCATTTTGAAACTCTCTGAACACAAGAGCTTTCTTAACTCTATACATGAATCATTTGTACAAATTACTTCGGTTACTTTAGGCTGATACCTTTGATAGTCATCTGTTGGAGTTGAGCCATTTGATTACATAAAGGAGTAATGTAATGTAGAGAATTTTTGTGATATTGCTTGCAGAGAGGAAATGAGGTCAAAATGATGAAGGATAGAAGGGATAAGGAAAATAGTGGAGAATGGGAGGAGGGAAAGGCAATTTAACCTAGGGTTCGTTGAAGAGGCTAGGATTAAGCTGGTCATCTGTTAGGATTAGAGAAGACATCTCTAAAAAACTGTGGCTGGGGCCAGGGTAGTAACATCATTCGTTTCCCTTTGTTTTCCTATTTATCATGAATACATACAATCCTAGTTATTGCTGAATATTCATTTCACTCAGAAGGCAGCTGCCCTCTGTTTGCCATCACAATATCATAGTCCTTCTCCTGCTCTCCATTCCTGGCAGGAATACGTAGGAAATGGAGTCCTTGCTCATTTCTCATAAATACAGTTCCTAGAAAGCATATATTCTCATGAACTTTCTTCCAGACAACCCTAATAGGATTTTCTCCCTCAGAATAGGCTCCAAATTGTACTCCCTGAAATAACAAATGAGAACATTTCTTAGAACTAAAATGTTCAGGTTTAGGAACTCCAACTCAGTGTAATGAACATTCATTTTCTTGGTTCAATTACTATTGCTTTTTCCATGAAGAAGTATACTGTCTTTATTAGTGAAGCACCATATTCATTAAAATATTTCTTACGGTTAGGAAGATTAATGACCAAAAAAATCTCATGATGTTTGTTTTGAGTCATTTTTCAAATTGTATAAACAATGCTGACTTAATTGAATCAAAACAAAAGTAACTTACATTACCTTTACATAGTTCCTCAAAACCCTAAAACCAAGAAACTATGTGTAATCTTTCTGGTTTTACTCTTTGTTACTGTGATAAAGGATCATTCATCTGTAATAGTCAGAGTGCTGATAAGAATATTTGTTTGCACAGATGGCTGAAGTTTGAAGAAGATGTGGAGGATGGAGGGGAGAGGTGGAGCAAGCCTTATGTGGCCACTCTGTCCTTGCACAGCCTGTTTGAGTTGAGGAGCTGCATTCTGAATGGAACTGTGCTGCTGGACATGCATGCCAACACATTGCAAGAAATTGCAGGTATATCTTCTTTCCCCTTTGTCTGCTTGATTCTTATGGGTGCAGTTGGTTTTCCTGATAGTTCTACATGGGACCTTTGCAAAGCATATTTTCGTGATCAGGGTGTGGAGTCCAAAACTGTCATTTTTTCTTCTATTTTTATTCAGTTTTCTTCTATTTCTTTAATATAAAAGAAATTCAATCTCTTCCTCTCAGTCTAGAACCAGAACCTAAATATTGTTTTTTTAATTAAAAATTTTTATTTTATTTTATTGTAAAGGTGATATAGAGAGGGGTTACAGTTACAGAAGTAAGGTAATGAGTACATTTCTTGTTGAACATTGTTACTCCCTCCCAGATTTTTCTCCCACTTGCCCTACCCCCACCCCTCGGACTACCTTGGCTCCCAAGTTGTAAAGTTCATTTCCAACATAGTGTCTGTTGCATTAGTTCACTCGTTGTCCTTTCTCTCACCATTTTGTTATTCCCTTTCCCTTATCCCAAATCAGATTAATGTTAATACAAGGCACAGGGTACCAAAATAAAAAATAGTGACAACAGGGGATAAAGCAAAGGAAAAAAATGAAAGAAAAATGATTGACTTCTCACAGTACATTAAAACAAAATCAAAACCAAAAACAAAAACTAAACTCTTATTTCAATATCCTGTAATTGATTTTGAGTAGCATCATTTTATATGGTCATATGTACATAGTTATTGAGCTATTATGATTCTCTGCCCAGACTATCCTAGATATATACTAATTACTACAAATGAGGGAACCCATGGAGCCCATGTTTCTTTGGGTCTGGCTTACTTCACTTAATATGATTTTTTTCCCCAAGTCTTTCCATTTCCTTACAAATATGGCGATATCATTCTTTCTGATGGAAGCATAGAATTCCATTGTGTATATATACCACATTTTCCTGATCCATTCATCTCCCCAGGGGCAGTTGGGTTGGTTCCACATCTTAGCTATGGTAAATAATGCAGCAATGAGCATAGTTGCTCTGGTAGGTTTAGTATGATCTTGTTTGTGCTCATTTGGATAAATGCCCACCAATGGGGATTACTGGATTGAGCTCTATGTCCAGTCTTTTGAGGAACCTTCATACTGCTTTCCAGAGTGGCTGAACAAGTTTACATTCCCAGCAACAGTTTATTAGCATTCCCTTTTGGTCACATCCTCTCCATCATCTGTTATTATTTGTTTTCTTGATAATGGCCATTCTAACTGGGTGAAGTAGAATCTCAATGTAGTTTTGATTTGCATTTGTTTTACGGGCAGAGATGTCGAACATTTCTTCATTGTCTATTGGCTATTTTTATTTCCTCTCCAGAGAAGTCTCTTTTTAATTCTTTAGCCAACTTATTAAAGAGGTGGTTGTTTCTTTGCAGATTTGTTATTGGGTGGTTTAATTTTTTGATCTCTAAGTATATTTTTGATATGAGGCCTTTGTCTGTTGTGAAGATTTTCTCCCAATCTTTCGAGTTTCTGTTTATCTTGCTAGCTAAGTTCTTTGCCATGCAGAAACTCTACAGTTTAATGCAATCTCATTTATCCAGCCTTTCTTTGATTTGTTGTTGTTTTTTTTTATTGTGAAAATACTGTACAGAGGGGTTACGTTGGCAAGATAATGAGTACATTTCTTATCAAGCATTGTAGCCTCCTCCTTTGTTTCCCCTTCCCATCCCTTCCCATCCTCCCCCACACCCCCTACCCAATCCTCCTCCCCCCCCACCAAAGTTGTAAAGTTCGTTTTTCGACATAACGACTTGTACGTCTCATTGTTTCAATGTGTCCACCTCTATCCCTATTTAAATGATTTGTTTTTTTCCTTCCCCTCCACAATTTATACCGACATCAAATACAGTGAAAGCAGGGGTTATACCGTGGGGAGGGGACATACAAAGCAACAAAGAAATACTCTTATAAATGTGTTAGAAACAATCGCATGAAAGAAAAAAAAAACATTTGAATACATATCTTAGGGTTCATTTCCCTAACATCAACTTATCTGACCTTTTCTGTTTGATATATACTAGTTATTGCAAATAAGGGAAACCATGGGACCTATGTTTCTTTGGGCCTGACTTACTTCACTTAATATAATCAGAACCTAAATGTTCTAAACCTTTACACTGTCCTAATTAGACTGATACGCTTAGAAAATTAAAGGGAAAAATATAGAGTGTTTTTTCAATATTCTAATATATGAAATTATCAATGACAAATTTCAGTAAGTGGAAAAAATAGTTGTTTAGAAGGATAGCAAAACTGAATTAAACATTAAAACTGAACTAAAACATCTTTGAGATGAGTTGGACTGATGCATTTATGATGTGTTAGAATACTGTTATGATTATGTATCACAAATAATTATATTTATGTACTGTGCCACTGCCATAGAAATAGAGTCAAAGAACTGCACACTTTGTTCAGTAAGACAAGAAAGTCGTAAAACCGAAATGTACAAGATACAGAAATACATTTTACTAAATTTTTATTACATATATATTAGTTTACAAGGGGACATTCACTGTGACACTTTCACAAAGGCATATAATGCACTCAGACCAATCCAACCTCTAACCTCCTTCAACCTTCTACTTAGTCCTCCCTCCCACTTTTTAGAACAGGTTCAATAGGTTTCAAAGTTCATCAATCATATTCATCTTCATTTACCTTCTCCATTTGCTCCCCTTCCCATTGGTATTCACAAGGGCAGGTTTAACTTTCTTGTTTGGTGTGTGTGTGTGTGTGTGTGTGTGTGTGTGTGTGTGTGTGTGTGTAATAGTTATACCAAATGGTTTCACCTGATAGTGAAGGATGAATAATATTGAAGTACATTGTATCTATCTATGGGTTGCATAAGGAAGCTCACTAAAAGCTGTTGAACTATAAGGGGTAGGGAAGATGAGGAAAGAGAGTAATAGGGGGGGTTGGGTTATTCAGATCAGAAATAATTTTTGAAAGAGTATCAATGAAATGATTAATGGAAAAATTTAAAATGAAATAAAAGCAGAGAAAAGAATGAGGCTGATTAAAAAATCCTAATTTGGGAAAAATACAAAACATTTCTATAATGGGATTTATTTGTGAAAGGAGAATGACTTAAAGGAGACCATAGTATCTTAATTATATTGTAGAAATGGAGGAAATCAACCCCAGGTGAGTGGTTTTTAAATTAAAAATAAGAGAAAAACATGTTTTCATCTTATTATTGTATTAGAAAAATGATGCATCTAATTTATTCTTGAGAACAGTCCCATGAGCTAGGTGTAATTTCCTTTTTTCCCCTCAGTGAAAAAATAGAAACTTAAAAAATTTCCATGACCCATATTTCATCCCAAGGCTTCTGACTTTCAGCCCAGTGTTCTTCTACTACACTAAAACTACTGTCTGAAGAAAGAGATGTCTTGAAGTGGATATTGTTCTGATGTTAGTGGCTCTCAATCATTTTAAAAATTACGAAATTTGAGTAGGAAATGGTAGTGCATGCCTGTAATGTTAGCACTCAAGAGGCTGAAGCAAGAGGAACTGAAGTTCCAGGCCAGTCTGGATTGTAAAGCAAGACTGTCTTAAAACCAACAACAAACATTGATTTTTGGTCTTTTGTGAATGTGTGAAAAGTAAAGCAAGTATGAATGGTGTCTTTACTCATAATATTAAAACAACCTCCCTCCCCCCAAATAACAGCAAAAAAAACCCTACAACTAAGGCCAAAAAATATCCAAAAGTCATCCCAATCCAGCCAAGATAAGCTTTGTCCCCTGTTTCATATAGCATCTATAAAGAAGCTACCCTTTGAAGCAGATAATTACATCCTAAAAGACTACACAAAGTTAACTCTAGTATGAGTTCCAGAAAAACATAGGCTATAGTGAGAGCTGGCATTAAATCAAGACTTAAGGAAGCTAGTTAGCTGGGAACCTGTGGCTCACACCTGTAATCCTAGCTAATCAGGAGGCTGAGATCTGACAATTGAGGTTCAAAGCCAGCCCAGGCAGGAAACTCTGTGAGACTCTTATCCCCAATAAACCACTAGAAAAACCTGAAGTGGCACTGTGGCTCAAGCGATAGAGCACTGGTCTTGAGCTAAAGAGCTGAGGGACAGCGCCCAAGCCAGAGTTCAAGCCCCATGATCGACAAAAAAAAAGAAGATAGTTAGAAATTAACCAAGTTCCTAAGAATTTAGGAATAGTAGCTCATAATGAGCTATCTAGCTCATTATTTTAACTTCATATTGAAGTCTTTCTGATACCCAATAAACATTTTTGCATTTTAGTTAAGAATGAGGTTTCCTTGATATTTTTAGCTTATGTATTATCTTTGTAATACTCATAGAAACCTGGAATTTGATATGGTTATTATTTTTTACCCTTATTACATATTTAAACTAACATTCAGAAAGTTAGATTTTTTCATAAGGAGTTTATTTATGCTGATTAATTCAATAATGGCATTACCAGTGGAAACTTATTAATCCAAACAAGTTTTGTATTGGCAATATGTAATGAAGCTATCAAATTCTTCAACATGGGAAAGGAGCCTCAAATATACTTTCTATATATCTACCAGGCTATAACTCTGTTTTTCTTCACCCTCTGGAGGTGCAGTGATTTGAATTCAGGGAGTTGAACTTGCCAGGCAGGCACTCCACTACTCAAGCTACATCTGTAGCTCTTTTTGCCTTAATTATTATCATCATCATTATAACGCTTTTAATGTAATCATGTATGTGTGTATGGGTGTGCATGTATATGCACATGCACACTGCGTTAGTGAGGCTTAAACTCATGAGAATCACACTCTCTTTTGGCTTTTTCTACACAAAGCTTGTGTTCTACTACTTGAGCCAAAACCTCAACTTCTCATTATCCTTCTTTTAAATAGGATTTCCCATTTTTGCTCAGGTTGGCATGGAACATGATCCTCATACTTAATGCTTGCTTCAGAGATGGGATGTCAGGTGCATGCCATCATGCCTGGCTTTGTTGTTGAGATTAGTCTTGT